CAGTGCGCAAGAGTGTCAGCTTCAACAATGCCTCCCCAGCTGCAGCAGCAGTGCGTGGCCTGCAGGCTATCCCTGAGGCTGTGACCCCCAGGGCAAACTGGGCCCGCCCTGCTGCTGCAGCTCTACCAGCAGCGATGCGGCTGCCACTGTCAGCGGGTGCAGTGCTGCAGACCTGCAACGGCGGTTCAGCAGGAGGAGGAGGCTACAGCACCCTGGATCAGGTTTTGGCGGCTGGGCTGAACCCTGGCTTGGGCTTCGGCAGCAGTGCGGCTGGCAGCGGCGCAGATGCAGGGCCGGGGAGGGTTCAAGGTGGGGGGTTCAAGCAGGCTGCTGCGGTGCGGCGGCACAGCGTGCCTCCTGTGGATCATTCAGGCAACAGCGGCTCGCACCAGCAGCGGCTGCAAGCCCTACAGGCGCTGCGCAGCAATGCGGCAGACGCTGCTGCTGCTGCTGCTGTGAGCACTGGCGCTGACGTGAGCGAGATGCAGGCGTTTGACAATGTGCTTGTGACCGGGCGCAAGGCGTTTGCGCGAGGCGTGGATTGCAGCGCGCTGGATGATGTCATGGGCAGCCAGGATGCAGGCAAGCTATCAGGCAAGCAATCAGGCAGCGTATGGTTAGTACAGCAGCAGCAGCAGTGGCGGCTGAGTGGCTCTGGCGTTGATTTGGCCCCGAAGGCTCTCAGTGCAGGTGATGCCTTGGGACCTATGGTGGGCTACTGGGATTAGGGTTTGGTGCGGCGGCTGGTGGGCCAAAACCCTGGATCTTGATCATGTGCATGTGCACGGAGAGACGACCGGTCTGGCGTGTGCTTGTGTGGTGTGCGTAGCTGTATGCGTCGCTGCGTGGTGTCGTGTGTGATTGGTTGTCTTTTGGGATGTGGCTGCAGGCTGGTTGTGTCTTTTGAAATGCAGCGGTTCTTTACCAGCTGGTCGGTGGCGTGCTGCGGCGCGTTCCGCAAGCACTTGCCTGGCTTTGCAGTTGGCATGCATTGATGTCAAATTTTGGTTGCACTGTTTTTGTCGGGTGTGGAGGAAGCTGGATCTAAGCAAGCATGCAGCAGAAGCCAACGTGTCTCCAGCATGCATATGTTTCAGTGTGTGCACCTTGCTACATGAAGTGGGTCAGTGCCTGCCTGCACAATGCAGCTCCGCATACTTTACTCTGTACATGATTCAGCAGAGTTTGCAAGTGCTGGAGTTGTGTTCACAATTTGACAGTGTAAATGCACTGTACAATGCTGCAGCATGGAATGTCCCTTAGCTGCTGTGTAGTTGTCTTGGATGTCGCTGTGCTGCCCGTTGACCAGTCAAAGCAGTCAAATTAACAGTGTTGGTCAGACCAGTTTTGAACAAATCAGATGAACGTTCAGCATGCAGAAAGTATCATGTTATGTCTGCTGCTTCGTCTCTGTGTCATGATGCTTTGTTGCCTTTGTGGTGAAGATACAAGGGCACCTGGTCGCCTTGTCAGCAGCCTTGTAAGCAGCGGGTACATGTTATCACCGCGCCCCAGCATCTGATATGCCAACAAGCACTGTTGCTGAGCATCAGTGCAAGCAAGCATTGGTGCGCAGCACCTGTGTGAACAGCACTGGTGCTCAGGGCCCCCCTGTCTTGCCACAGTCGCTATTTGTTTTTGGGGGGTCTAGGTTCTTTTGGGGCTGCCTTAACACCAGCCGCGCTCGCATGACTGCCGTATATGCTCGATATAGCTGCTGTCACTGCAAAGCAATGCTGTGGCAGCGTTGTGTTGACTCGTATTGTTCTTTGTGCAGCAGGCATGCCGCAGCAAGGGCTCAGCAACTGTGCTATTGCTGCAGCAGGTGCATGTACTTGGTCTGGCACTGTAGCCAGATGAAAGGTGCTGCAGACGCATGCTGACTGTGCCCATCGCTGCAGTACGTGTCTGTACGCACAAGTCGCCGCTGCATGCTTTGGTACGCCAGCTGTTGATGCATGGCCGGTCTCTCTGCGTGTGCAAAGGGACTGCATTGCATGCATCAGGACGTGAGCAGCTTGATGCGATTGGTGCGCATATGCTTGACATGCATCAGGTGTTGCTGCATGCCTCTTGTGCCAGCATACTGCAATCGTGGCTGGCGCAAGCTGGTGGATGTGCAGCCTGCTTCAATTGCACCTGGTTTGTGCAGGGTTAGCCGATAGGGCAACACCCTGCTGTGCTGCCGATAGGGCAGAACCCTGCTTTGATTCGACAGGGCAAAACCCTGCTGTGCTGCTGTGAGGCGTGGCGCCTGCCTGTTAGGGCGTGACACCACGCCAAGCGGCAGCTGGTGTCGTTTTGTGCCCTGTGTACGGGTGTTTTTCACAGAGGTTCTTTTCTGCGGGGGTTTTCGTCTTGGCAGGGGAGGGCATATTCGGTGTATAGCCATATGCATGCTTAACTGCAAGTGAGGCTGTGTGCAGCGTCCGGGCATTGGCCTTTGCAGCTGTTCCTGCAATGCTCGTGTGTGGTTGTTGGTCCATATGACATCAAACACTTGTATCTTGTGTGCAGCAACGCCAGGCAGGGCCTGCTTGAACTACTAAATGCACCCAAACTAGCTTTCAAACTGTGCAGCGCAATAGCCAGGCACGTTGTCCACGGCGTGCTTTTCTGTTGATCCTGTCAGCAATGTAGAGGCTCTGCTGCTGCCTGGCAGTTTGGCTCTACAAACCCCACTGCTGTCTGCTCAGCAGCCAGTTATATTGCAGTATGACCGCCTTGGTTGTTTGAGCGTCGTGCTGGTCCGTCTTGTTCTTTTGCGGCGTTTACAACACGGCTGTTCAGCCGCCGCGGTTGTCTGTTGCGGCTGTTCCTGCCTGAACACACGCTTGTTATCTGTAGTGCTGCACTGTGCCTTGGCTTTGGGTCAGTAGCCAGGCTGCTGCTGCTGCTGCTGCTGCTGCTGCTGCTGCTGGTTTGTCGCAGCGCTGCACTCTGTGGCAAGCTACAGTGTTGGGGTGGACTGATAAGTGTGCGTGGGGCTGTGACACTATGTTAAAGCTGCAACCATGTGCATGCTTCTTGTGTGCAGGGATATGGTTAGGTGGCCGTGACAGGCAGCACAGCATGCACTTGTCTGTCACACTTTTGGGTTACTTTGGTATGTCATGGTCACACCATTATTGTTGCGCCGGCTGCGGACTGGGGTTGTCAGTTTCAAAGTGCGCAGCGCTTGCCTGCTGCCAGACGGTTGCAATGCTTTGACTCGTTGTATGTGTGCTCTTGTCAGTCTGCTGTCAGGGGTGCGGCACATCGCGTCTGACTGTGCTAACCTCTACACAACAACTGCACACAAACCTGCACTTCCGCCTGTACAGCTTTGTACGCTGCAAGCGCAAAGCGTGTGTTGTGCATTTGTCTGTTATCCAGCATAGGGATGCCGTTGGCCACAGTGGTTTGCTGCATTGTTGTGATGTGTCAACGCCCTGCACTTGCTGTGTGTGGCTTCAGCTGCACACTACTGCCAGGAAATGCTGCTGCTGCTGCTGCTGCTGCTGCTGCTGCTATGCGAGCTTTTCCGGCTAGCTAGCGCCCACCCACTGCAACATCATTTGCTGACACAGCTGTGACGGGCCCTGCTGCTACCGCAGCGGGCTGCTGGTTTGATGCTGTGTGGCGAGCACCACACCACACAAGGCTGGTGCTGCGTATTGAAGCTGCATGGGTGCTGGTCGTGTTGGTTGCATATTGTTGACCCTGCAATTGAGTGCGTGTGATTTGGCGTGCACCTGCAGCAACGTTGCTAGCCCCTGGCAACGTGCTCTTGGCTGGTCTGTTGTCTCCTTTGGACAACGCTGCTGTTGTTTCAATCATTGAGTCCATCTTCTGTTATTGTCAGGGTTTGCCAAGGGGTTGGGTTTTGGAGCCTATAACCTGGCCCTTGACTCTGCAGAGTGGCCCTGTGCTGCTGCGCCTTGTGAGTGTGCCTGGTGCATATAAACATATAAACACTCCATCTTACAAAAACACATGCCAGCGCTCCAGTGCTGGCCTGCTTGCATGCAATCGATTGCAGTCTTGCTGTCAGCAACCACCACGTAGGTGCGGCCGCGGGCACAGCAGTACATGTTGTGGCTATGTTTTGTGCGGTTTGCAGCATGCATTGTGTAGCTGCACAGTGCTGTTTGGTGCCAGCTGGAGGGTGCTTGCAGTTGGTGTTACCGCACGTGTCGGTTACCAGGGCGTGCACGGGTGGGCGTGGCTGTTTGCTACGCAATTCATTCCTTTGCGATCAGTTCAAGAAGCAGATAATTGCTGCATCATCTGGTGTTCGTGTCAAATGACTGTTGCATCGGGACAGGAGGTGTTGGGAGATGGTTCTGCATTTCACACTTGCATGCCAGGGCTCACAGCTCTGCTTGCAAAAGGGCTCAGCGTAGACATTGTACAACACTGCTGTGCCAAGGTTGCAATTGCCAACGAATGTAATTGGACATCAGTATGTTATGTGTGCTCTGTGCAAAATCAGCTGGTTGTGCACCTGCAGAAACTTAAACAGTGCGGCAGCTGCATGCCGATCAACTGCTTCCCTACAACTGTGGCAGCAGAGCGCGTAGCAAAAGCAGCGATGGCGCAGCTGGGTGACGTGCGTGATGGTCTAGGGTCTAGCAGCCGTTGCTCGGTCCGCATGCACGCCATGCTTCGGCAGCCTGCGCTGTGGAGCATGTGCAGTGCGCAGCAGAAGCCGCAGCACTGCTGAGCCACAGTACTTGGTGAAGTTCACAATAAGAGACCGTGAACTTCTCCTGCACCGCCTTGGAGCTGTTGACAGAGAGTTTGCATATGGCATATACACGGCATGTAAGCATCCTGATCACTCGACATGGGCGTCGAAAACAAACAATCTTACCGGAACGTTGACGCTGTGGAAAGGCTGGCGGTAGTGGTCCATCAGGTGGAGGGCGCGCCCTGGGCCGGCTGAGGACGGCGCGCGGCAGCTGCTTCAGGTGTGCGTGAAGGTGCAAAATGCAGCGTGCCTGAACCCGCGAGTGTTCTGGGCCTTGCCAGGATCAAACTGGCGACCTTAGGATGTCTCTCACTCTTATTGAGTCATGTTATGAGACCTACGCGCTAACCAACTGCGCCAAAGACCCGGTTCGAACCGCCGACCTGAGCATCGGAAGGCCACTGATGTGCAGGCAGGCACCCCTGCTGCTGGATGCAGACGTGGCAGCAGCAGCAAGTGGTGAATGCCGCAAAGCCAATTTTTCAGCGCAGCCAGGGCTTGCAGCTGCAAGTGACTCACTTAAGGGTGATCGCTTGCCCCCCCCTGTAACAGACCTCTTCTGGGCTTGCACAAACAAACCAAACAAAGGCTTGTATTGCATGCATGCTTGCGTTTACGGTGGTGTGGGGAACTGGAGGTTGGACAAATACCCGCTGGTCCTTATGATACGAGGGCTTAATCGGCGGAGTGTTGGCTTGACTGGCAGTACCTAGCCCCTGCGGGGTTGGTGAGACCCGCCTCCGTGTAACAAATGCAATGCAATGAATGGGCCCACTTTTCTCTTTAGGGCCGTAGCTTTCGTGCTTTCTCGTAGCTTGCCTTCCCCTCCTGCGCCGCTCTCCATCATCATACACAGAGCTGGGGGCCGCCTGCCAGCAAGACAAGCAGGCTTGGCAGCAGCTGCTGCATCAGTGCCACATGCTGCTTTAGTGCCATGTGCACGTGTAGACTAGGCGGCTGCGCAAGCTGTGCGTTTGGATGCGGCACTATCCTGCTTTGTGTTTCTGCCTTTCACCTGAGATGAGGCTGATGTTGTCCGCGCCGTCCGCTCATGATTTGGGTTTGCAGCGTCCCAGTAGTAAGGTTGTTTGTTTTCACATGTCAGTGCTGCTGCGCAGTTCTGCATAACGTCAAGATTCAGCACATAAACCGCGCGTGTAGAAGGGCAGAGTTGGACTGAACTGCTGGGTGTTACATCTCCTCCTCTGAATAGCCAACAGCCATCCTGACTGCACACATTGCTGCAGTGCACTACAGTAGGCTAGCTAGCCGCTAGCTGAAGGGTTCAGCCAGCACCAGCAAGCTGCATCTGAAGTTTGCAGCACAACAACGCATGACGACAGCACAGAACTGCCTCCAAAGGTCACGTGCACTTGAGGATATCAACGTTCCACAGCGCGCACACCGATCAACCCCATTGCCCTTAATGTTGGAGCCATGCCGTTGCCACTCTCTCTCCCATTCTCTCTTGCCTGTGCAACACAGGGGCGCCAACATAAAGGGCAATGGGGTTGATCTAGAGTTGAGGGTTTAGAGTCGCCACATCACATCCTGCAAGGTTCCCACCCTTCCCACCAGCTGACCTGCCAGCAACAGTTCAAAAGCGACCTTCAGAGCCCCTGGCACGTAAATACTAATCAATTTTTAAAATATAACACATGGCCACACAATAACCTCCGCCGGCCCCCCCCCCACCCTGTTCCTGTGCCTTGCTGTCACCCATGTGCACACGCAGCAACCCAGCGCGTTTTCCGTCTCAAAGCTAGGAGTTGTAACAGAAACACTTCCCTGCACCATCCTGCTTATCATGGAAACTGGAACTTAACTCAAATCAATCAAACTCATTAGAAGAAACGCAATTCACACTCCTTCCAGTTGCTGCAGGCGCTCTTGGTGCAGCAAGCTGCGGTGTGAGCTGCTGCAGCAGCAGCAGCAGCAGCAGCAGGAGCAGCAGCAGCAGCAGCAGCAGCAGCAGCCTGCCACCTTGCTGAAGCCATGTTGTGATGAGGCGCCATACATGCGGCAAGCTGCACTGCAGCACCACGCCATGACAACATCACTGCTGTGTTGAGCCAGAGGGCGTCAGCTTGCTGCAATGCACAGACTTGCACAATTACAGCCAGTTGCTGCAAAGTGCTGTGGCAACAGCAGCCACCACTCTCTCTGGCAGCCAGCAAAGCGTCAGCAACAGCAGAACACCGTGCAGCAACAGCAGCAACACCGGTCAACATCCATGACAAAATTTTTTTGACCACCTGTCATTTCCCAGCTGCCCTTCAACAGTTGTGGCAGCAGCAACACATTCTCGAACAACTGCAAACACCTGCATGATACCTGCTAGATACCTTGCCAGCAGCACTGCACATGGTCAAAGCCTGGAACAGCCACAGCCACCACCGACAGCTGCCTGTCAGTTTGCAAGTTGCTGCACTGTCTCCAGCCACAATGTGAAGAGTGAAAGGCACGGCAGCAACTCATCTCACAGCAACTCATCTGGCCACACACTGCACGGCATCCAAGGAAGAACAGCCGCCTACAGCCGCGGTCAAAGCCTGGAATGGCGCGCACAGCCGCCGCCACCGTCCACACCAGCACTGGCAAACAACACACAGCCGCATTGATGACAGCACTGGGTGCAAGCGCATCCAGCCCCATCACCGCTGAGAGCTGCCTGTCATCATGAGACATGCTGCACTGCCGCTGGTCACAGCATGCATTGAAGGCGTGGCAACAACAGCATCTCAACTAGCCACACACTGTAGCGCATCCAATCCAAACACAGCAGCTGCCTACAGCACGCGGTCAAAGCCTGGGATCGCACGCACAGCCGCCGCCACCGCCCACGCGCATACCACCACCGGCAACCTAATCACCGTCGCATTGATCACAGCGCTGAACGCAAGCGCATCCAGCCCCATCACCGCTGACAGCTGCCTGCCAGTTTGAAACTGTTGCACTGCCTTCAGCCAAAATGTGAAAAGTGAAAGGCGCAGCAGCAACTCATCTGGTGGCAGACTGCAAGGCATCCAAGCACAGCGGCAGCCTACAGCACGCGGTCAAAGCCGGGGATCGCGCGCACAGCCGCCGCCACCGTCCATGCACACACCACCACCGGCAGACTAATCACCGCCGCATTGATCACAGCGCTGGGCGCGAGCGCATCCAGCCCCATCACCGCACGCGCAAACAGGATGATAATCGGCGGGTGGATGATGTACGCGCCGTACGCGCCGTTAATGATCTGGCGCCCGAGCCACTTTGGCTGGATGTTAAACGCCTCCCTGAACAGCACCAGCAGCCCTGCTGACCACACCACGCAGAATGACTGCTCCACAAAAGTACGGAGCATCCAGCTGCCCATGAATGTCCCCATGCCAAACTGCAGGGACATCTGCCGCAGCAGCAGGATGTTTGGAATCCAACCGCCAAGCACCCACCAGATACCTGAGATGCTGAGCCACCAAGCCGCATACCCGCTGGGCATGCGGGCCAGCACATTCCAGCTTGCAGGACCAGAGTAGATGCCGAGGCCAAACGCCACCACATACACCACAAAGTAGTCAGGCATGAAAGCCACAAACGGACCCTGGGAGACGAAGACAGCAGGCCGCAGGTTGAAAGCGAGCATATCCAGCACGCGCGTGGCAAACATGAGCACAAACAGCACGAACGTGAGCACCGCGCCGCCGACCAGCCACTGCCTAGTGGTGTATTCCACGCAGCTGGGTGCTGCAGGCTTAGCAGCGGACCCTGCCGCCTCTTTTTTGTCATCCCCCTGCTGCGGCAGCGCTGCTGCTGCACCATCGCCTTTCCTGCAAGCCTTACAGACTGCCTGCAGCAGCTTCTTCCCAACCGCCGAATCCGCCATGACCTTGATGATAACATACGCCACGTTGAAGCACCAGAGCATCCAGATGAACCAAGGCGGGCCTGTCGGCAGCACGTACTTTGTCGGCCATCCGGGGGCAAACCATTCGGCGAATGCTTGACCCATCGTGGCTTTTGGGTCTGTGGTGTGCTTGACCCACCAGATGTTGAAAGGTGCAATGATCATGCTGTAGAAGAGGCAGGGGATGACGAGGCGCAGGGTGCGGTCTTTGAGGAACTCCCAGGGGCCCTTGCGCTTGTATGAAGGGGGCACATACAGGCCTGCGCGTGCACGGCAGGCATGACAGATGGTGTGAGTGCACAGCTCAGCTTATGATGCATCTGGCCAAACAGCATGCCGCACGCTTTTTCAATGTCAAGCATGTTCCTTGAGGAACTCTTAGGGGCCCTTGCGCTTGTAGGAAGGGGGCACGTACAGGCCTGCAGTCGCATCACAGCGTGTGCAGCAAAGCAGACAGGCGGTGTCAGTGCGCAGGCTAGAGCTTGCGTGCAGCTGTCGTAGCAGTGTGCCGCAAGGTCTGTTATTTATGTGTGATGTAAGTGCAGGGTGCGGCCCTTGAGGAACTCCCAGGGGCCCTTGCGCTTGTATGAGGTCGGCACGTACAGGCGTGCGGGTGCGTACAAGCAGACAGATCGTCTGAGTGAGCGGATGCTACAAGTCAGCCTTGCGCAAGCCATTAAAACGCAACGCACTGCCATGTGAACCTCTCTCAGCACATTCAGTAGATCTACCCTGAACCCGGAACTGTAAACCCAGCTGAAGAACAACAGCGTAATGACAAAGGTCAGTTGCCACTCCCTGCTGGCGAACATCCCAAACCTTGAGCCACAAGCCACAAGCCTACACCACTGAGCACTACATCGCTCGCCGCACCTGACTGGAAGAAGAAGGGTATCATGAAGTAGGACTGGTTGCCGATCCGTGTTGACTGTCCAGCCCTACACGCCCCAAAATCTAAAGCCCAACCCAGATAACTGCTATATTCACCTGACAGGAAGAAGAACAGCGTCATGAACTAGGCCTGGTTGCCATTCACAAGCAGCTGCACCATGGCCCCTGGTGAACCACACCCAAAACATTGTAACTCCTGTAACAAACCAATTCCCACCTGACAGGAAGAAGAACAGCGTCATGAAGTAGGCCTGATTGCCGTTCACAAACAGCTGCACCAGCAGCCAGTGCGCGGTGTCGCCCTTGCGAGCCTTCCACGGCTTCCAAGTGGACAGGTACTCGGTCAGGCAGTGGTGCAGCAGCACCAGCACTGCAGAAGTAGAAGAGATTGCGGCAGCAGCAGGAAAGCGTCAGGTGACAGCAGCAGCAGCAGCAGCAGCAGCAGCAGCAGCAGCAGCAGCAGCAGCAGCAGCAGCAGCAGCAGCAGCAGCAGCAGCAGCATTGTGACTTCCATGGCTTCCAAGTGCTGAGTTACTTCGTGATGCATTGGTGCAGCAGCACCAGCACTGCGGCACAAAAAGTCACAC